TAATTTATATATATATATATTATTTTTTAGGATGCAATTGGCAGAAAGATAAGTCATTTCAACCTAGCTTTAAAAGTAAATAAAATTTAATTAATTACTTAACCTAATTCTTGAAGTAAATGAAAAGTTCAGAGATGTAATTAATATATCAGGCTTTAGATCAAGATGTCTCTCCCCACTTCCGAGTTCTGCCTCTATTACATTTACCTTGCTGTAAGGCAAGCACATCCTGTATGGTAATGTGGTAACAACACAATCCTAGGCCTCACATTCATAGAAACCCCAGGGGAAAAGATGGACTGGTTCCAGCAGCTCTAATAGGAGTCAGAAGTCGAAAGCTCTCTTTTGCCTCCATGGGCCACCTACCTGGGATTCCAGGGACTGTTGGGGACGGCATACTCTGTCCCCAGGCCTGAAATGCCTGCTCAGCCCTGAGCTCTGGGAGGGAAATGTTAGTCTCACTGAATCCCACAGATGAAAACAATGTCAGACGTGGACTCCGAGAAGGAAATCATGCTGCCAGAGTGGGAATGGGTAGGTGCTAGGTGAACAAAATGTAACATTCACCTACTACCCTTCTTTTCACTTTCCAAAATTCAGACTCAACAGCTGTTTCTGTGAGACTCAGGGATAAGAGCAGTAAGGGGAACTTCTGTGTGTGAAACTCTTCATTATCTATGTAATGTTGCAGCAAAGCTGGCTGACCTTAGACTGGCCACCTGTCCTTGGCCAGGTTTAGCTCTGATAGGCATGAGAAAATATTATCTATAATAACAAAAGCATAACATAGTAATTAGACTGGATGTCCTTTCAGATGATTTTCTGGATGAAGTCCGGGCTGCAAGGGAAGCCCAGGCCCCGGGTGCCTGCTGACGGCCGGGGGAGGCCCGGGTCCCAGGTGCCAGAGGGAAGCTGGTGCCAGCAGCTGGGGGAAGGAAGGCATACTTTTGCATGAATTTTGTGCATTGGGCCTCTAATTATATATAAATCTCCTCTTCTCTAGTCCTTCATGCTCTAGCTCTAACATTGTCTCAGAAATGGGGATGGACAAAAGGAGATGATCTTACAGGTTGGTAATAATTTGGAAGGAAATCCCCTGATTCTTCCATACTGTTTCCTTTAAAATGTCCTATATCTGACTTTTAATGCCTTGGACCACACTCTTAGGAAATTGTTTTTTTTTCCCTGACAGGAATTGCCTATCTGCCTCACTGACATGGGCAGCATTCTCCTATCATTTCCAGAGATTATTAATATGTCATCTTTCTCTTGAAAGTAATCTTTCCAAAGTATACAGTGTTCTCTTATACAAGTTCTCAAGACCATCTCTTGAATGGATGCACAAGAAAAAGAATTATCAAATTAATTGCCATAAAATTTGATAAGACT